ACGAGAAAAGCTAGAAAGCTGAAATTTTAAAGGAATGTTTCTTAACCATGTGTGATCAAAAGATTTCAAATTCAGCTGCTCAGGGCCGTCCGACCTCACGTACAGGCATGGTGGAAATTTTGGCGGGAAAATTGTTAGCTCGGCAATAAGAAAGGCTGAGATTGTAAGGGAGTGTCCCCTACTCATGTGCGACTAAGAGGTTTCAAATTTGGTTCTCCGGAAATGTCTGGATTTCCTGTAAACGGGAAAGTTCGGGAGGGGGATTTACTTGCTTGGGAACCAGAACAGCCAGATTATCTTCTGTGTGCCAACGATCGGCGGATTTTCTTTATGCAAAATTTGCGGTGATTTATGATAGTAAATGTACAAATTAGATGTAAAGTAAAATCATGCAGTTAACGATCTGGTTGCTTCAAGTTCAGCGCAAAAAATGCATGACCGGCTAATGCGACAACCGATGATCCGGAATTATCTAACATGTCGGCCAGCGACAGTGATTCCTGCTACGATGGTCTGCGATAGCGACTTGTTGCGAAGGATTATTTTGAAATGCGACCACTAATATCTCCATCATTAATATCTTTATTATTTCTCTGACTGTTTGTAAATTATACATCAAAAACCAGTTGTTCGGGAGAGCTGTTACTCTAAAAATCCTAAATGAAAAGCCAAAAAAAACCGAGGGAAAAGGTCAACTTGACGAATTCCAGAATTTGTTGGTCATGGATTTCTAAATCTGGGATCTTGAAATCGACGGAGATGAAAGCGGGTGAATTCAAAACTTTTGAGAATTAGGTTCCAAAGCTTCAAGGGCGTCACAAGTTTACCCAAAAATCTATAAAACAGAAAGGTATTTTGAAATAGGAAGGAGAGTGGACGAGAGAGAAAATGAGAAATTAAGAAAGTATTTAAATAAAATTATTAAAATAGAAAAACCCTAATTCTGGAGCACCTATCATCGGGTAGAAGCTCCAACCCTACTTTATTATTTTCTCCCCTTAAAAGGGGTAAAACAAGGAACCCCTCCCCCTCCTCCTCCGTCCTGTGCAATTCAGTAGTTCCTCGAAAGTCGCTCAGCATCATCCCAGATTTCTCGGATGACGGGAGCACAAGGCTGAGTGGTCTAGTGGTATGATTCTCGCTTAGGGTGCGAGAGGTCCCGGGATCGATCCCCGGCTCAGCCCCCAACGCTTTTGGCCGGAATTCCTTTACAAAACGGCTTTATCAAGAGCGAGGCTTCGAAAAACTCTCTACTTGACGAAAAATTTTGGTTGTTTCAAATATTCTTTGATGAGCTAGAACACAGTGTTTTCCCACATAATTTTTCACCTCATTAAATGCTGGCATATTTTCGTGCGCTCGGTATGTCCCACAACAACAACAACAACATCCGGAACATTGGCCCTCTTTTTATCGCGAAATAATTAAAAGCGCTAATTTTGAGACGGAAAAATGAGCCAGTGGCGCAAAATTGAGCAAAAGTAAGCCCGAAAATTCGTTAGTTAGGCACAAAAATTGTTTCAAATTCACAAAAAAAAACCAAGTGAATAAAGTAATAAACAAGAGTAGTGAACAAGATGAGAAAACCGGCTTGATTGCGGGAAATCCATCACAGAGAACAATAATAAAATGCTCCCAAAAAAACAAAATCGAAGAAAATCATTTTAAATCACTGGAGTTGAGCAGGTTTTCCAGAGCTGAAAAGCTTTTCGATTTCTGGAAAACCTGCTCAACTTCAGTCATTTTGCAATACATAAAAAATATATGAAATCAGTGGAAAAGAGACCATCTGGCAGATTTAGTTCTCCCAACAGCGTACTTCCAAGTGGGTACTCTTGTGAGACTAAACAATACCTCCAGAAGCCTCATAATCTTATCAAATGGTTCAATTTTGCAATAATTTCAGCTAATTGCTTTTGACGTTCGCAATATTCGTCCATTTCTTCCACCGGATTCACGAAATCGTTTGCTGTAAGCTGAAATATTCATTGTTTTTCTCAATACTCAAAAACCCCAACATTTTTTAATTTTGTAAAAAAAACACGGAATAAAATGCTATTTATACTAGAACCTAAAAATACATGTAACAGGCAGATTTCTGAAATAGAATCATATATTTTTGATTGGGAAAGTTTTTATTATCATCGAATTATCAAAGATTTTAAATTTTTAGAATTTACAAAATACTATTAATAAAAATAACTGAATTTTACCTCTGGTTTCAAAACTTTGAGCAGTGTAAAGCTGGCTGATTCCACACGATTTATACGCGGTATTTTCTTCTTCACATTACAATTTTCAGATAAAATCTAAAAAACTGTACGTTTCAGAAGAAGTATCTTTTGCCACCCATTTATAGTTTGAAACAAAACATTAGTCGTCAAAAAAAAAAAAAATTGCACAAACAGGGTTATTCAATACAAATATTCAAAAGAGTGATTTAAATACCTCTAGCAAAACAGCAGCAGTGTTACTTGCCAGGATAAAAATTACTCATTTTAAAAGTTCGAATAAAATCAAAAAGTAAAATATAGTGAAATATACAAATTAAAGGTTCGAATCAAAATTTAATATTAAATTTGAATTTGAATACTCAATTAATTTGAGTGCCCGAACTAATTGTAAATAAATACAAAAACTAAATTCAAATAACCGAATTACAAACAAACAAAAAATTTAAACTTAAATACCCAATGTATTTTTAGCTGAATTATTTATTTTTGTTGCGCCTCTCATAAAGACTAAAATACCGTTCAAAAGATAATTATCCACGTAAAACTTAATAAATTTTACCTTTTTTGGTCTTTTTCGACGTAGATTATTGTCGTCATCCTTATTTAAGGTATCGGTTGATCTGTC